TGAATACAAGATGATATAATGTTTAAAGTGTAATAAAGTAATTATTTGTGTCTGAGCAATTGAGAAAGTTTAGTAAGAGAAGTTGTATAGCGTTCCAGGAATTGCATCAACAAGCCTATATAATCTCAGCCTGACAAGATGCATTAAATCATTTAAGTTCCATGGATGCCATGATTTGTATTGATAGAGATGGCTTCCAATTCTTTATGAAATGTGAAAATTAGGAAAGATATTTGGGCTTGTTTATGTCCTAATTTATTTCCCTAGTAAAAAAAACTGACCAACCAGAGGAAGCAGGTTAAGAATTAATAAGCATGCTGTGGTAATGAACTATTTGCCTTGTAACAGTTCTGGCTCCTTTTCACATCCACCTACGGAGTTTGCTATAGATGAACTCCTTCACTTAACCTGATGGCACACATTCCCCACATTGCTAAGTTATGGATATTCAGAGACATGCCAGGAGAGTGTCTGGTGTTCCCTTCAACTGAGACAAAAGCGTTTGACACATTCTGTCAGATGACTCAGGCATTCTAGGATGCCTTAAACAATGTCAAATGAAGGCAACAGCAAAAGCTGGGGATTGGGTGGGGAAGTGAAGGAGAGTTTTACAAAACAATTAAAAATGAATTTAAGCCTGTCACAATGCTTTTCAAACTTTCTCATATCCTACTTCCTAAGTTTCTGACCCCATAGGAAAACCATCAGGAGAGAAGAATTCTGTCCATTTTGGGGGGGTGCGGTAGTGGGGTGCAGGTAATCAGGGCCTGGCAATTTGTTTCTCTCCCTCTATGTATAGTGCGGCATTTGTATAATTTATTTCTTCATGCATATTTCATCATTATTAATCATCATAAATAAGGCAGTCACATCTTTTAATGACACAGGGGTTGAAGAAATAGACTGTGTCAATGTGTGACAGAGCAGTTATCATCATCATTAGGGGGATTTATTATTTTGGGAAAAAGCAAGTTAAAAGACTTAGCTCAGTAGTCAAAAGTGCAATTCAGGTTTTATTGTGCAAAAACCTGAAAGTGGAAACGGTTCTTCTGAAGCTGTTTAACATACATGTAATTCAAACAACCTCTTTAAAAGGCCTTCAGTGCATTCATGCACGAACAACAAAGTTCTCAGCCCAAGTTATTCTTTCAAGCTTCATAGTTGAAGCACAACATGAATACTTTGCCATAGGAACCCGCTGAAGCAGCAAACACAGCGCTTGGTGTCTCTCCTTCAAATAACAGGATTCTGGGGAATTCTCCTATTGCTCCCTTCAGAGACAATTAATGGTTTTGAATACACCTGGTGATAATCAATTCTGGGAAAGACCTCAGAACTGCAGGTCATATTTCACTTTGGACTGGTACAATACCCAAATAACAGGATTTTAAAATGAACTCTGTGTGTGTGTGTGTGTGTGTGTGTGTGTGTATGTGTGTATGTGTGTGTGTGAGTGTGTGTGTTCATGCCTAAAAACTGTCCCTGCTTCCTTTGGCCGAGGAAATAATAATTTGTAATCTAAGGAGCTTCAATATATATATCACATGAATATTACATTTTACTTTTTTTAAACGTCAATTTAACTGATTCATACAGAAGGAGGGAGAGAACTTAAGAAAAGCCCATGCTAGACAGGGTGGATTGGTTCTCTGGATCTTACCTGGTGAGATGGGCTCCATGGGAAGAGGGTCAGCACACATCAAGGACTGGACTCTTTAAAAGGCAACTGTATGATCACAGACTCATAAACCCACAAGCTCAGCATGATCTCAGGTGCTTTTGATTTCTGGTTAGGGTCATAATTGAAGAATGGAGAGAATATATCATAAGTTTTGTAAGATGATTTCAAACTCTCTCTTTTTAAAAACACAGTTCTCACTTAAAATGTAAATGCATATTTCCTAGTGCACTGTATAATAGGGTTTACCCTAAATCAATGCTCTCAACCCTGGTGAACATTAGAATCCCTCTGGGGGCTTTTAAAACAGTTGGAATACCCAGACCCACCCAGTATTGGATTTTAATTGATCTGAGGTGAGGCTCAGAAAAAATTTAAAAGCTTTCCAAATGATTCTAATGTGCTGCCAGGGTTGAGAACAACTGCTCTAAATAGTTAGAATAAGTATGGAAATTGCCTTGATTATTTTTGTAAGTATGTTTCATGCAGTAGTCATGAGAGTGAGGAAGGGAAAGTTATCAGGTACACATCATGACATTTCAAAGCTGAATTTGGAAAGGTTTGAGAGAAAGAATGATTTTGATTTTGTAGTTCTTCTTTTTCCTTGTCTTTTCAAAATGAACACACATGCAATATGTGCATAAATGTACACACAAATGGCATACACAAACAATCCACATGCCATCTTTGCACCTTAAACAATTATCATTAGTAGCAATATATTGAGAATGGCCTTACATTTTTTCACAGGAAATCTGTGAAAATTTTGTAGTTTTCTCCCTTCCTTCCTTCCTACCTTTCTTCTTTCCTTGCTACCTTGTTTCCTTCTTCTTTTCCTCTTTCCTTGCTTCCTTCCTTCCTTCCCTCCCTCCTTCCTAAAAATAAGCATGTAAGGAGCATCAAGCAATTGATCAAGAGATGAAAAAAAATCCCAAAAGCAGAGGGATATTGTCACTTTCGTTTCTGAGTATATTAGGTACTGAGGATAAAACTCAAGCCCTGTTTGCTAGGCAAGTACTCTACCAGTAGAGCCATTCCCTAAGCACGTTTTTAAATTTTATTGTAAGATGGGTTGTTAAACTTCTGCCCAGACTGACCTTAGAACATAATCTTTTTACCCATACTTTCAAAGTTGTTTGGATTGTGGGTGCACAGGGTTATGCCAGCAATATTGACACAATATAAGGTCAGAACAACACACAATATCAACATACCTAACCAAGAATTCAAGTGTCAGACCGCTGGAGGGTAGAGACAGCTGAGAATAGCTACTTCCTTATACTGCACCTGTCCCAATCGTTCTGGGGGCACTGGCCTGAAACTGCTCAAACTTGCAAAACAAGTTATTTGCTAAAAGTTCCTGCTAACCCTGGCCATATAAACCCTGCCATAACCAGACTCTGTGTGACCTCTCTGATCCTGACCAGGGAATTTGCCTGGGAGCATACCCCACCAAATTTTATTCACCTTTACCTCCTCCTTCATGTCCTTTCCTCACCTAAAACCTTATATCTGGTGCCGAAAACCAGGAAGGTGGTAGTGCTTCACTTTGCTGTAGGGTGATCGATAGGCACTGCCCCTTCTTGGCCTCTCTCCTCCCTTCCTCCTTTCCTGAGGTCTCCTCCATCAGGAGCACTGAGCCCACTGACCTTACTTGGGGCTGAACAGAGACTTGAAAAGACCTTGTGGCCTTTGCTTATGCAAGTGGTGCATAGCCCATGGACAGCCACCTAGTGGCTTGGGTATTATTGGTGATCTGTGTAAACCAAGTGGAGGCCTCTCTCTCTCTCTGTCTCTGTCTTTCTCTGTCTCTGTCTTTCTGTCTGTCTGTCTGTCATTGGACCAGGACCTCAGTCTGGCCTTCTGTACATCCACAGTATTCGGATTGGGTGAGTCCCTACCCATTGTCTCAGGGTGTCCTGTCTTGCTTTCAGGGAACTTGGCTCCTCTTATTTCCTTAAAAGTCATGATTTCATGCCCAAGTCTCCCTCACCATTCCTGCCTTTGGCCTTGGGCTGAGAACAATCAGCGATGCCTGGTCTTCTCTGTTGTCCCCGTTTTTGGTAACTCTTTGGCTAAGACAAGGATGCCTTTTTAAGCCTTAGGTTTACCCCAAACTGCCTGGGCACCATGGGAAACAAAAATTCCGAACTGGACCCATATACTCGTTTGGGTTGCTTATTGGCTAACCTCAAACCTCTAGGCTGAACAGGGAATGGCCTATGTACCAGCTCGATAACCAGTTACCCTGGCCTGAAAATGGGACTTTCAACTTCAATATACCAACCAATCTCTGCAATTTCTGTGAGCGGATGGAAAAGTGGGCTGAAATTCCTTGTGTCTAGGGATTCTTCTACTCATGCTCCCATCCCTCCCTCTGTCTCTCCTGCCCCCTCATCTCAAATCTTGCTCATGCAGCAAGATCTCCCCAAAAACTCTACCCCCTTTCTCTTCCTCTCCTGACCCTCTTGACTTGCAGTTATGTTCCCCACCTGTGGTACGTCCCCCACCTTATTTGCCACCTAACCCCACATTGGGACCTGTTCCTGATCCACAACCCCCTGTGCCTGCTTTGTCCTTAGATCTCCCTTCCCCCCTGTTGCTGGCCATACTCGTGCCCAAACTAACTAGGCAGAAAGTTTGCTTCCCTTGCATGAGGAGGCTGGGGCAGAGGCCTGGTGAGAGGCCATGTTCCCGTTTCATTTGGGAACCTATCTCAGATTGAGACTGGCTTGGGGTCTTTCTCCAATGACCTGCCCACCTTTGTCAGGGAGTTTCATTATCTGACCCAGGCCTATGATCTTACCTGGCATGACCTCCATGTTATACGCTCCTCCACTCTTACCATAGAGGAGCATGAATGAGTCTATCAGGTTGCCCTTGCTCATGGGGAGGAAATCCATCTTACAGATGTTACCTTGCCCATGGGAACTGAGGCAGTCCCTAGACAGGACCCACACTGGCAATATCAGATAGACACAGCTGAGGGTCGCAATGGCCACATGCGAACAGATAAGATGAGTCAGTGCCCTTTAGCTGGATTACAGGTGGCCTCCCATAAGGTTGTTAACTTTGACAAACTGCAGGACATTACTCAACTTTGGGATGAATCCCCTGCTGCCTTTCTAGCTAGACTTACTGAGGCCATGACCAAGTATACCTTCTTGGACCCCACCTCTCCGGCTGGGGCAAGCTTTTTGGCCTCTCATTTCATTTTGCAGTTAGCCCCAGACATAAAGAAAAAAACTTAAAAAGGCTGAGGATGGCCCTCAAGCTCCACTCTGTGACCTGGTAAACATGGCCTTTAAAGTTTTCCAGGACCATGAGGAACAGGAAAAGGCTGTTAGTGAAGCCTGCTTTCACCAAAAGGCGTCTGGCCTACCAAGCCCAAGCTCTGGTCTCTGCCCTAAGGCCCTCTACAATGTGCAGCTCTGGAGAAAAGCATCAACCACCTGGACCCTGCTTCAAGTGCGGCCAGGAGGGGCACTGGGCAAGGCCATGCCCTAAACCTCACCCTCCCCAGGCACCATGTCGGCTGTGCAATCAAAAGGGACACTGGAAGCCCAACTGCCCCTCTGCACCTAGCTATGGAAGTTCAGTCCTCCCTCCCCTGACTTGCTGCCTTCGGTCCTGGGCCTGTCCGCTGAAGACCAAGGATGCCCTGCTTCACCAACTGATCACCCTTGTCCAGGCTAGGGTAAAGATCCAGGTAGCGGGTAAGGCCATTTCCTTTGTGGCTGATACGGGATCTACCTATTTGGTCTTCCCTTCCTACTCAATCCTCTTAGCTCCTTCCCAGGTCTCAGTTATGGGAGTTGATGGAATTCCCTCCCAGCCACCGACAACGGGCCCTCTTACGTGCCTGATATATGCAATGAAGGTAGAAGAGGAATGAGACCCAGCCCTGCTCTTAGCCTTAAAATCTAGCAAACTTCTCCACCCAAGTGGTGACTTAAGACAGTTCTGAGATAACCCAGTTCTACAAGTCAAAGGAAAAAATGGGCAGTTTTAAACCCTAGCCAAAGAGGCCCTTAAGTTAATCCTGGGGCCCCCACTAAATGTGCTTTTCTTCAGGACTTACTAGGCCATCATACCCTAGCCCTTCTGTCTCTTTCTCGCTTGCAGGAGATTCATCTCCTATTTATTGAAAACCCAAGTGTTTCACTTTTTCAGTCCCCTAAGCTCATTCTGCTACTCTTCTTCCCTCCACTTCCCTACCTGACTCCTCCTTGTCTGAACACTCATACCCTGAATTAGTGGAGTCCCTTGCCTCTCCGGCTGGACTTACTGACCAGCCCATCCCTGACTCTGGTCTTGTTCTGTTTGTGGATAGCAGTTCCCTGGTGGATCCACATGGAAAGAGACAGCCTCCTATGCGATTGTTTCCAAAGGAGGGGAGGTATTGGAGACCCAGCACCTCCCTAAGGGAACAATGTCCCCAAAGGCTGAACTACTGGCTCTCACTAGGTCCCTCTACTTGGCAAAAGGGAAAAGGGTAACTATTTATCTCTAAATATGCCTGCCTCATTGTCCATTGTCACGTGGCAATCTGGAAAGAACTGGGGCTCTTAGCTACAAAAGGGAACCCTATTGTTAGTGCCCACCTTATTTTAAAATGAATTCAGGCCCTTTCCCACCCATCTGCTGTGGCTATTGTCCATTGTAAAGGACATTAGACAGATGATTCCCTTGTTTCCCGAGGTAATGATAAGGCCAATGCAGTGGCATGCCAGCTCGCTCAACAGTCAGTGGCTTCAGCCCCCATTTTATTTTTATAGGTCCCAGATTCGACTCCTCAGTATTCCCCATCTGAAAAAACTCTTCTCTATGAGAAGGGTGGCAGGGATGGAGAACAGGGATGGATCTTTGTGGGAAATAAGTTGGCCTTGCCTCTGGCCCAGACTACAACCCTCACACAGCAGGTTCATGCCACCCTTCATGTTGGGCCCAAGGCACTGTTTCAGTTTTTAAAGCCCTTCTTTTATCACCCTCAGCTTTCCACCATAATTGAGTCTGCCTCTCAGGCATGTTTTACATGCTCCACCATCACCCCTCAAGGGGAACTCAGGCCAGCCTTTATAACCCACCAAATGCAGGGCTATTTGCCTGGACAAGGCTGGCAGGTGGATATCACCCATATGGCTACCCACAAAAGGATGAGGTACCTCCTTGTCCTGGCAGACACCCTCATGGGGTGAGTTGAGGCCTTTCCAACTCCCAAAGAGATGTCAGGAGTTATAACTTTATTTTTACTTTCAGAAATTATTCCTCATTTTGGCCTTCCTTCTTCCTGTCAAGCTAATAACGGCTTGGCCTTTATTTCCCAGGTAGCACGACAGGTGTCTTTGGCCCTAGGACACAGCCTAGTCTCAGCTCAGGAACTTTCAGTTAAACCCCAGGTAGCCATGAATTCACCTTGGTATCTCTAGCCTCACTCCAGCGCCAACTTACCTTCCTGGCACAGGTTGCTCAGAGCCCTGGACCTCCTAATGACTGAAAAGGGTGGGACCTGCTTATTCTTTTTCTTTTTCTTTTGACCTTTTTTTATTAATAAGTTTTTTTTATTGTGAAAATACCGTACAGAGGGGGGTTACAATTACATGAGCAAGGCAATGAGTACCTTTCTTATCAAGCATTGTTGCCTCCTCCTTTGTTTCCCCTTCCTATCCCTTCCCATCATTTCCCCCCACCAGCCAAAGTTGTAAAGTTTGTTTTTCGACATAACGACTTGTACAACTCATGGTTGCAATGGGTCCACCTGTACGCCTACTTAAATGATTTGTTTTTTCCTTCCCCTCCACAAATTATACCAGCATCAAATACAGTGAAAACAGGGCTTATACCATTGGGGAGGGACATACAAAGCAATGGAGAAATAATCTTTAAATATGTTAGAAACAATAGCAAGAAAGAAAAACCATTTGAGTCCCTATCTTGGGGTTCAATTCGCCTAACATCAACTTATTTTCTTGCGGGAACAATGTTACTATTACATCAATGAGTCAGGTTTGGTAGAACAAACTATTGAGGCCCTAAATAAGCTAAAAAAGGAGCTCAAACATCAGCAATTTGGCGAGCCTATTCTGGACTGGTTCCATGGCCCCTTTGCTGGGTGGTTACTACTCTTAGTAGGCCCATTAATTTTAATTTGTCTTTTCTTTTTCTTTTCCCCATGCCTCTTGAGGTTCATCCAGAACCGTATCCAAGAAATAACCAACGGGATGGTTAGTCAGCTTCTTCTTCTCCACCCATACATTCACCTGCCAACGACCCCTCAGGCATCCTAGACAACTGGCATACAGCTCCATGACATCCCTGTCCAGCAGGAAGTAGCAGATGACTATCGTCACCCTATTATCAAACCAAAAATGCTGGAATGTCAGGCCGCTGGAGGGCAGAGGCAGCCGAGAAAAGCCACTTCTTTAAACACCATCCGTTCCAATCATTCTTCAAAAGCACTGGCTTGAAACCACTCAAACTTGCAAAACAGGTTACATGCTAAAAGTTTCTGCTGACCCCAGCCATATAAACCATACAACTAGACTCTGTGTGACCTCTCTGATCCCAACCAGGGAGTTCACCTGGGAGCTTACAATAAACTTGTCTTTTATTCACCTTTACCTCCTTGTGCATGTTATTTCCTTGCCTAAAACCTTACAGTAAGGAGGTCATGTCAGGCCAGGGCCATATTGGCCGCATGGTGGATTGTAGGGTCTGGCATCTTGTCTTCATGCTAAAAAATGAAATTCCCCCCACCTCTCATGTGATGGGCATGCCCAGAACCCTGGAGGCAGGGATAGGCACATGGCTGATAGGTTGCTGAAACAGTCAGTCCAGGGCCTGGGACTGGGGATTTCCTATGGACCTGTCCCCTGCTCAGACCAGCCCAGATGCCATACCACATGTCTCCATGGTTCGTCCTATGTCCTGTCTTCTAGCTCAACTCCAGTCATCATGGCATCCCAATTCAGCAAGCCATCGGAGCTGAATTGGTTTGTTGGTATTGTTTTTTTGTTTCTTTTGCTCTAGTGTATTTGGGAACTGCAGGCCTATGTAATAACTGGCTGCCTGCAGCCTGCTAATGTTATAATAAAGATTCCAATATTCCAACCTTTCAAAAAGTGGCTTCTGGAATAATTTCACCTTAAAACAGATGAAGTAAGGAACTGCAGTAAATGTGAAAGCAAAGGCATATTTCCATCTAAATAATGCTAGTGATTTATGCAATGACCATAGAAACGTTTTGTCTGAGTTATTTTTGTAATTTAGTGTGTTTTTGAGCAAGACAATCTTAACAGCCAAAGCAAGATGAAGGATAAGATAATGTGTGGTTCCTTTTGGGAAAAGAAACTTTCTAGATTTGCCTAGAAGAAAAGTCTCTTGGAAATTTTGGAGTCCAATTACCTTAATTTTATGAATTAGGAAATTGCACCAATGAGTTTTATGCTCCTCTTGTCCTTAACTTTATTGTACTGAGAGCAATGTAGTAGTTTCTGTAATAGATAAGAGTAATGTTTAAAAATTTGGAAAGTATTCAAAATTAATTGAATTCTTTTTTTTTTTTTTTGTCGGTTGTGGGGCCTGAACTCTGGGCCTGGGCGCTGTCCCTCAGCTCTTCAGCTCAAGGCTAGCACTCTACCACTTGAGCCACAGCACCACTTCCAGCTTTTTTCTGCTTATGTGATGCTGAGAAATCAAACCCAGGGCCTCATGCATGTGAGTCAAGCACTCTACCACTGAGCCAACTTCCCAGCCCATAAATTCTTTTCATTCTGAGTTTAAATTCAAGGAAATCCAAATGGCACTGAATTTTGTCCCTTCTGATAGATTTTCTTATTACACTGAGTAGGAAAAAAAGTGAATATATATGTCTATAATGTTTGAGGATGCTCATATCAACAAAATTATAAAGTATTTGAAAGTCTCTTAAAAATCCATGATATATGAATGTATTACCATATAATTATCTGGAGCTCTGCACATTGAAAAAAAAGTGAATGCAAGTAGCTGTGATTAGACTCCATTATACATACCAACCTTTTATAACACATTGGATTTCAAATGGAGTTTATTGTAATAAATGCTTTTACAAAAATGTATATAAAAAGTAAATATTTGATTTAAAACTATGATGCTAAAATGCATTTAATCACAAATATATTAAATACTATATTCTAATCTCTAATAAATACCAAAATAAAAACAAGATACATTTGAGGCTGTGCTAATTTTCCTGTTCATTAATACTAAAATGTTCCGGTCTATGGAACTATATTTCACCCTCTAGTTAACATTTTAGTGTCAAATAACAGGAAGTTCAACTATATTGTTACCATAGTGAACATTATTCAAAATATTTTAAACCATGCATATCCAGGCAGGAGCTTTCATTCAACAGCATGAATAAAAGATACATTCATATTTACCAGTAAGATTTGGTCAAAAGAAGATTAAATCTTCTGATAGACATTATTTCTTAGTGTTCCAGAATAAGAAATATTCAGAAATAAGAAATATTTAGAAAGCTGTAATGTAGACCAGTAAAATAGAATCCATTTTGGAGGGCAAAAATAATGTGAAAGTGAGACCAAATGTTTCCACAGTCTCTGAAATACAAACACGGACATTTGCTACTCCAGTATAGTCTAGATTTTACATGTGTCCAGTGCTTACCAGATCATGAATTATTTACATAGACCCACGTGATCATTTGATTTAGACACAACTGAAGCCTTTTTAGTATTCTTTGAGTTAAAAAAAAAAAACTTTAAATGGACCAAGATTCTTGGCTAATTTCTGTGCCTAGACCTTTGGGACCATTTTGTAACGTACAAGCCCAATAGCCAATGGGAAGGCTAGAAGAAGATTTGCTGCTAGAAGGAATCACACTGGAATTGTTCCCATTCAGATCCTAGTTTGAACCACTTATTTTATTAGTAAGTTTTAACACACTGCCTAAATTTTTTCATCTTCCTACAGCTGTTTTGTTATCCGTTAAACAGTAGTGTCTATTTTCAAATGTTCTGAAGATAAAATGATGTCAACTATGGAAAGTGCTTACATTACACCATCCACAGAAAATGCACAATATGGCTTACTCATTTGGTGAGCACAAATGTATGACTTGCCCAAGAGTGCTAGTTTTATGTATAAATCATCAATACAACATGTTGTGTCATGGTATTGTTCTGCATTTATAGTTTCCTCCTTTCTACTAGCCAAAAAATGTTCCCAGTGTAAAATATGTGTTTGTGGATTTTGCAAGCTAATAACCTTTCCTATTGTCAGATGCATAGTGTTTTTGTGATTGTAAAAAAATGTTCATTGGCTTTTGTCAGTTGAGAAAGCATGCATTAAAAAATCATAGATAATTTAGACATGATTACAATATGCTATCCTATCCTCAGCTCTTCATATTCTCGTGCTTGAGTTCATCATTTTTTTTCCAATATAGTAGTAGGAAACACATGCTAAAATGGTTGAAAATACAACTCTCTAGGTAAATGACAATATAGTTTTCATTTGTTTAAATAAAATTGCTATGATTCTTGCCTATTGTATTGGCACAAAGGATTTATACTCTGATTTTTTTTAAGCCCAGGAAGATAGGGTAGCGGTGATAGATTCAAGGTAGAAGTGAGGTACTATCTTCCCCATCATCTTCTTGTCAGAACTCTGCGCCACTTTCTCAGGCCCTTGGCTCCTGAACTCAGCATCCATCCAGGTCTACAAAATTCAGGAGCCTCAAAAGCTGCTACTTTCTTCCTCTTGCCTATGACTGCTCTCTGGCCAAGAGGAGGGCAAGAATACTGTTTGATGTTTATTTGTTGATTTTTCACTAATGCTTAATATGGCTTAGAAGATAACATTTTAGTTATGTGAGAGAAAGAAGAGTTAATGAATATTGTTGCAATAGGAAAGCTATTATTTCTCATTTTTGATCGACATATTCTGCTTTTTTGGCATCTCTGTTTACTATCTCTGCACTGAGATGAAAGCATTTTCTTTAGTTTGTGAATCTTGGTTAAGGTCTCTATCTCATTCTTCTGTAAGCTTTTATGAAATCTTGTTATACTGGCATAAAAACACTCAAAACTTGTGTGCATTCATTTATTTATTAAACCTCAATTCTGAAAGCGTCCTGGTTTTTATCAGTATAAACTACGCTTGTTTGAAAGCTTAACTTTGAATAACTCTAAAACAATGGTCTCTCTTTTCTTTAGTGGAAGGTTGGTTCGTCTGCATGGATTCGCTCTTGAGCACATAATCACTTTGGCAATCTGCAAGTGAGTGTCAAACATTATGTGCTGGAACAGAGTGTCAACAATGTCTAGTTTAATAGACGTTTCACCCTGGTCCAGACATCCATCATCTCTGTAGCTCTATTTTTGCCGGAGAA